TAGAAAACCCTAAAGATTGTACCAAAAAAATCCCAAGAAAACCAAAACCACCACCAAAAAGTGGAATAGACAAGCTCAGGAAAGTTGCAATATAAAATATAATATAAATAATAATATAATATAATAAATTATAATATAAAAACAACAGTTGCGTTTCTATACATGTACAGTGAAAAACTGCAAAGGGAAATTAAGAAAATCCCATTTATAACAGCAACAAAGAATAAAACAGGAATAAACTCAACCACGGAGGCTAAAGTTATTGTACGCTGAACACTATAACGTGCTTAAAGCAATTAGAGCAGACACAGATACACGGGAAGACATACTGTGCTTGTGGGCTGTATGACTTACTAAGATGACAACACCACCCAATTGATCTATGGATTAATTGCACTCATCAAAATCTAGCAGTTTTCGTAGGAATAGAAAAAATCCTAAAACTTACATGGCCTCTCAAGGGATCCCAAATAGCCAAAACAATCCTGAAAAAGAATAAAGTTGGAGAACTCACATACCCTGATTTCAGAACTCACTATGAAGCTACAGTAATGAAAATAGTTTGGTCCTGTCATGAACACACACAGACAGACACAGAGACCATTGGGACAGGACAGAGAGCTCAGAAACAAACCGCCACATACACAATCATGATTTTCAACAAAGGTGCCAACACCATTCAGTGGGGGGAAAGGCAGTGTTTTCACTGCCTGGGAAAACCGGATGTCCACATGTGAAAGAATGAAGTTGGGCCTTACCTTACACCATACACAAGTATTAACTCAGTGGACCAAAGGTCTAAACATAAAACCTAAATAAAACTATAAAAGTTCTGGGCAAAAACAGAAAGTTTCACGACCTTAGATTTGTCAACCATCTCTTAGGAGACAAAAAGGTCAGCCAACAACAGAAAAAAGGGAAATGAGCTCCATCAAATTAACACTTGCATGCCTTAAGGACACAACAGGGAAAAGGCAACCTTTACAATGGGGGAAAATACCTTCCACTCACATACCTGTAAGGTATTGGTATCTAGAATATACAGAGAACTCACGCAACTCAACAAGAAAACACACAACTTGACTAAAAAAAATGGGCACAGGACTTGAATAGACATCTCTCCAAATACGACACACAGATGGCCAACAAACACATGAGAAGGTGCTCCAGACCACTGATCACCAAGGAGATGCAAATCCAAACCAGCAGGAGACACCACCTCACACCCGTTAGGGTGGTCACTGTACAGAAACCACCCGAGAAAGCAAGTGTTGGCAAGAATGTGGAGAAACGGGGGCACCTGAGCACTGCTAGTGGAATGGAGAAGGGTGCAGCATCTGTGGAACACGGTGTAGCAGTTCCTCAAAATATGATCAGCATGGAGTTAGCATCTGATCCACCAATTCTGCTTCTGGGTATTTATCCAAAGGAAGTGAGTGGAGTCCTGGAGAGATACTTGCACACCCATGTCCACAGCAGTCCACACATGGAAGCCACCCAGTGTCTCTACAGACAGACAAAACAAGATGCGGTCCATCCATGCAAAAGAACAGGACTCAGCCCTAAAGAGTTAGGAAATCCTGAGACAGGCCACAGCATGGATGGACCCTAAGGACATGATTTAAGTGCAACAAGCTGGTCACAAAAGGACAAGTACCGTAAGATTACAGGTATATTCTGTATCCAGGGTAGTTAAAATCTACTGAGATGGTAGATGGCGGGAGCCAAGTGCAAGGGACCGGAAGTTAGTGTCTCATGGGGATAGATGGGTGCCTAGAGCAGGCAGGTCCTAACGGCCTTCCTGGTGCCCTGTGCAAGCCCTCGGGCATTTCACTGGTCAGTGTCTGATGCACAAGGTAGGAATAAGGGTGGAGGGTGGGGTCAAGCATGCACCTGCACACAGTTCATGAAGGAAGTAACAGTACATTTCATAAACACGAGATTTTCTGCCTTTTAAGACTGGTTTTCAGAGGGCAGCACCCCTTACTGCTGGTCATTATGGAGCCAAGCAGCAGAGTCCCTGTCATGGCCATTTATCTTAGGGTGGCCTTACCTCTGAAAGAGAAAGGATTTTCCAAGAAAGGATTCCAAGCTGCTCCTCAGTAACCACAACCCTCAGAGCTCTACCAAATGTTTAAAGCAGAATTAACACCAGTCCTTCACAAACTCTTCCCCTAAAACAGCAGAGGGACCACTTCTAAGGCAAACTCATCCTAAGTCTGCCAAGATGTATCCATCCTGACACCAAAACAAGACGAAGACAGCACAAGACCATGCAGGCTGACGTCTACGCAAAAGCCTCAGTGTAATACCAGCAAACCAGCAACTCTGTACAAAAAGGACAATTTACCACCACAACCAAGTGGGATTTCAGCCCAGAATGCAAGGATGGTTCAACGTACCAAAATCAACCAATGTGGGGCCCCTGGCTGGCTCAGTCAGTGAAGCATGTGACTCTTGACATCGGGGCTGTGAGTGTAAGCCCCACACTGCGTGTGGAGATTACTTAGAAATAAAATCTTAAAGGAACAAAAATCAACCAATGCCATCACCGCACAAGCAAGATGAAGGATGAAACCACATGACCTCAACAGATACAGAAAAAAACAGGACAAAATCCAATACTCTTTTATGATTTAAAAAAATCCTCAAAAAAGTAGGACTGGAAGGTTAAGCCCCAACCTGACAAAGGCGTCTCTGAAAGCACACAGACAACCTCACACTCACAGAGGAAAGACAGAGCCTTCACTCGATGGAAACACGACGGACGTCTGCGTCTGCCACTGGCTCGGCACCACAGGCTCCAGCTTGTGAGGAATCTACACACAACCACTAGGCTGAGCTCAGCAGGGCCACAGGCACAAAACACACCAGCATTTTACGGATTCTAAGGACCGCATTTACGGCACACGTTGTATGCAGTCAGATCGTAAATGCTATCCTAAAACAGACCCAGCTCCCGGTACAGAGACCTGAACGGTCAACAGTGCCACGTCGTGAGGCGTTCAGAGGCCACCTCAGTCCTCTGTGTCCACAGACCGGGTGAGAAACGTCTTTTTGTGCCTTGAAAGGGGTAAGGAGAGGCAGCATCTGGATGGGCTTCCTGGCTGGTCGCGCCTACTGGGGCCCCCCAGGTGTGCGTCCCATCTCCGGCATAAGCGGACGCCTCAGCCTGGCCCTGTCAGGGACTGGAGGCACGTGAGACGTGCTGCGGGGTCTCCAGCTCATGGTGTCCTAGGCTCTCCGTGTCCCCACTGACCTCTGGCAGGCCTCCCAATAGATATAAATACCGTTCCGGTGTGTGAACTCATGACAGTTCTGCATCTCGCCCCTTCCTGTAGGTGACTGATGGCTGTCTTGGTGCTGTCCGTCTTCTGCTTACCCTGCGGCCTCTACTCATTCCCGTCTCTTCCCTGACGCCGCCGAGAAGGCTGCCACCATCCCCAGCTCGCCCGGGCCTCCCTGCACCTGCAGGAGGTGCTAGCAGAGTGGAACGGCTGGGCTCCCCTCTGTGCTACCAACATGTGTTTGGGAAAAAAGAGAGCAAACTTCAGTGTCCTTCTAAGAAGAAACAATACCAAAAAAGACCAACACTGAAAAGAGGCAAAGGACACACGTTAGGTAACTTACTGAAAATAAAAACACACGGTCGATAATACCAAGAAATGTGGACCCACCTTGTCCTTCGGGCAGGAAAACGGCACCGGGGTAAGGCCTCTGCAGCAGCCATCACTCAGGACGACCCTAACAGCTCACACAGGTGGCCTGGGAACCCTCAGACCCATGGCGCCATCACCTGGGCTCCGCTTGTTTGCCTCAGGGGCGTGATGGCCGCACACCAGCTGGGGAACAGCAGGAACCAGCAGCACCCTGCCGGCCATGACGGTATGCGGGCAGTAAGACCCATGTTTTCAAACATGCTTCTGAAAACATGGCTGGTTGTCAAACGGAAAGGGGAAACAGACGCCCCGGGTTCCACGCCGCATCTAGAGGGCAGGACATTGTTGGCCCTCAGCACCAGGTCAGCACAGACAGCGACACTGAAAAGCCAGAATCTTTATTTACAAACACGCAAAACCGCAAGCCATTTTAATATGCTTAGAAGAAGAAAACATTAGAGGAGAAAGGAGCAGTGATTTTCGGGGGTTCACACCGCTCTCCCACAGCGCGGGGGTGGGAACTGCTCTTTGTAGCAGGAACAGTGGTCTCGGGGGGCAGGGTGAGGGGGGACTTGTATATTTCATAACACCTTTATTTTCAAAATCATCTAAAATAGACATGCATTATTTTAAAAAATAAAACAATCTTTTAAAGGATTAAATCAACGATATCAAAACCACAGACACTACTTTTTCAGGCAGATGCAAAATCGATGAAGTCAAATGAGTCGATAAAGATGATTTATTACTTTGTCTAGGAAAGCACTTCCAGGGCAGTGAAGGGGAGGCTGCACTGGGCGGTCCCACCACCCACACCGTGGCTGGCCACGGACTGACCACGGACACAACAGTACCACACGCTGCCCCCGGCACACTTTGCATTTGACGAGGACTCACTTGGACACAACCAATGCAGTTAAGATACATATTAAGAAAAATAAATATTCTGCACCCCGTATTTACAAGGATCAACTGTTCTGTCCCCTGCCCCTAATTACTACAAAATCAGGAAGCTATGATTTGACAATTAAGCACAGTATTAGCTGTTAGTGTCAGTTTGGCACAGACGTGGTGCTAAAAATCCAGAATTTTACTGAACCGTATTTATAAACACACAAAGTTGCAAACCTTAATGGCCTTAGATAAAGAGGATTTTTTTAGACAAAGCAGGAATGATTTTACTTGGGTTCCCCAACCTCTTTCACAACAAACCAACACCCCTGCCGTGTCTAGGTGGGGAGCGGGGAGGTGCGTTGTCTGTGTTCGTGTCACTCCCTGGAGACGGCACAGCGCAGCGAACCCCTTCCACCGGGAGGGCGGGTGGCGGGGGGGGGGGCGCCTTCAGAACTTGAACAGGTCAATGAAGTGCTGTGGAGACACGGGCATGAAGCAACTGTCGGGATCGGTGGCGGTGCAGGGGTGCCCCGAGTCCTGCAGGAGCAGAGGAGAGGCGTCACCACAGAGCGCCTGGCCCCATCACAGTGCTGTGTGGAGCACGCAGACCCGCGTTCCAAAGACAGCCAGCCACAGGGAACTGTCAGCAGAGACAGGTGGCCCAAGCCAGAGGGCCCGGGACTGGGGGTTCTCTGCCTCCCTGGCCTGGCCCCACACCTCCATTCCTGTGCTGTTCCTCTGCTCCCCTCCTGGTGCCCCCCGGGAGCTCGCACTCGCTGGAGACCGGGATCCTGTTCAACAGGAAGAATGACTAAGGGAATAGGTGCTCTGTCCCTAAGACCGACAAGCTTAAAAGGAGGAGGAGCCTAAAGAGCACAGGCCGGGTCAGCCCGCGAGTCACCTGCCGTGGGGCACCAGTGCCTGAACGAAACCTCACGGACACGACTAAATTTCCCCCTCAGGACAATGTCCCCCCAAGGACATCCCGAGAACGGCTCGTAGGGGCAGTTCTGGCTGGCTGGGAGCATGCATGGACGCGACACGAGGCCTGGTCTAGCACAGAGGTACCTTGAACAACAAAGCAAGGCGGCAGTCCTTTGAGATCGTGGAGAAAGAACCAGGAGGAGTGCAGGGAAGGGAGGGAGAGAAAGGAAAACCAACGTTAGAGCGCAGGCTGCACGGCGTTGGCGTGGACAGCAATGATCTACAACGCAGGTGAAACCACCCGGCAGTGAAGACGTTTGCAAAGCCAGCACGTCGAGCATGAGGACCCGACCGTCCTGACACCAGGCCCGGCACTGCCCTTGCCTTGGGAGCCTCGGCTGAACACTGGCCAGGCTGCAGCCCGAACCACTCACGACTCCCCAAAGCACACGCAAAGCGAGGCTGAAGTCTCCAGTTTGTACCGAAAACACCTGTAACACATTCTGGAAGGTCATTCATTCTCCCTCACATCCCAGCATCTGGTTTGCCAAGTGCCCACCGTCCATCGTAGACACTTTCACTCTGGCTTGTCTGTGCTTTGCGCCCCAGCCACAGCAGCCCGCTGCCTTCCCCACACGCTCCCCAGCCACCCACCCACCCCCCGTGTGCCAGCCATCCCTGTGTCCTGTAGACACAGCATGCGAGCAGGCCGGGAGCCTGCTGCTCATCGCAGAGCCTCCTGTGACCTCTCCCGATCCTGCCCGGGGCCCCGGACCTGCTGCAGACGCTGGTTCTGCATGTACTTTGGTGGTAGACACACCATGACAAAGGTCCTGGCCTTACCTGGCTCCCCAGCCTGCCCACACCAGGCTTTCACTGGTGTTTCGTACAGAGATTCGGTTGCTGCCTGTGTAAGCACTGAGGGAGGGCGCCTTCCCAGGGGCCTCCTGAGGCCCTGAGACCAGATCCCACTCAGGGACCTACTGCAACGGCACCATGAGGGCACTGTTGTGGGTTTGCGTCGGCCCCACTGAGACCCAGAGGCAGGGACGCAGGGAGTGGTGAGCCTGGTCCCAGTGGGTGAGACCCCCCCCATGCTCCTCTGCTGTGTGCGATGTGCACGCAAGCCTCCCCTCGTGCTCCAGGGCTGGTGACACGGGCCCGCCGTGCCCGCCTGTGGCCCCGCTCCCCCCCGACACACCTGCCACTCCCTCACCCGTCGGACCCAGGCAAGAACACGCCTGCTCACGGATGCTCTGCCCTCGAGGGACCGTGTTCTACAACACGGCTGTGACTGCAGAGCACGGAACACGCACCGCTGTTCCACTGTGAGACTGGAGCCCCACTGAAACAGACGGCAGGGACCTAGAGATAAAACCCCACGTGACGCTGCTGACCTTCCATGTCCTAAGTAAACCATTCAAGTAACGCAGGAAGCACCCTCCATGCCGCTGCATTCATGGCTCGCCGTGGGCAATTTGAAAACCGCAAGTGACGCTACCGCCAATGTATTCGGAGAGGAGAAAAACCTCAAGGGGTTGTCTCCTTTCCAACAACGCAGAGTTTGCCATGTGATCCGTCTGACAAGTTACAGATAAACGCACAGCAAAAAGCAGAGCAGGGATGCTGCTGACCAGGCAGGAGCCAATGGCCATCCCCCCAAGAGCAGGGGGGGCCACTCCCACGCGGGCGCGCACACGGATCGTGCTCGCCATCGAGCAAGCAGGGACATCGCAGGACATAATGTATTCGCGGTCAAGAAGACTGTGGGAACACATCCCAGGATGAAGGAAAATGGACTGTGACATGAACTCCCCTCCGACCGCAGACAGACAGAGCCCCCGTATGTGCAACGGGAAGTCACAGGGTGAAGGGCTGCCCGCACCCCAGGGTACTTGGATTCCAAGTGTGAGTTGGGAGACACTGGTTCAGTTTTGATCAAATATGAAAACCGCGTGTCGCTCTGAGAGGCTAGGACCTCCCTGCTGCGGGGGCTTGGTGTGGGGGGGAGCCGCGAGGAGGCGCCCGCACAGGGTCCCAGGGGTACAGGGCAGGAAGCCAAGTGTGGGGCACCCACTCAGGAGCGTTCTTACTTTATAAAGGACGGGGACGCTTTGGCCCCTTTCTCTCAGGCTGGCAGGAACGCGGCACCGCCCAAGACCAAGTGCCAGGGGCCCCGGTGTCCCTGGAGACCCACATCCCCGAAGCAGAAACAGACGCTTCACTGCCCGACGTTTCTGACTCAAGCCGCAAGCTGTATGGTTTACTCCCGTGAATCTATTCCCCCGCCCCGATACTTGGTGAAATCAATCTCACGTTCTCATCACAATTTCCCATTCTTTCTACCCTTACACCTAAAACAGAGGCAAAGAATCTGCGTGAGCCCCACTGAAGGCCCGAGGCGGTTACCTTCCAGAAGAGGATGCTGCAGTGACGGCAGAAGTGCAGGGTGTCCCCGTACTGCTCCCGGGGCGGGTAGTGCTTCTGGAGCGCGAAGTACATCAGCTTCCACTCCACATGGCCCTTCTCCGACAGGATCAGATGTCTGCAGAACTGACACACAGATGCTGCTGAGCACCTGCACGTGGCTTCACAGCACACCGGGGCCACATGGCATTTCAAGGGCCACGGAGTGCACGAGCTCAAACTCCCGTGGACTGAATCGGTGAGGGATGAACCACGTGTCCCACAGCGTGTGCAGCAGGACAGCACGTGGCAAGTGTGAGCACCCTGGTCTAGAATGACGCCCGTGAACTCTATCAAGGTAAGATCACGTCACATACGTGAGGTGTCTAGGACTTATACCTGGAACAGGTGAGGGACACTTGTCTCTGCACGAAAAACACAACCTGATCGAAAACGGGGCAAAGGACCTGGTGCCGAGAAGGCCAGGGCACCACACCCCGTCACCGAGGACGCAGACGAGGTGCCACTGCACGCCGCTAGCTCGGCCACGATGAAAAAAAAAAAAAAAGAAACAGTAACGTGGACACCTGGGTGGCTCAGTCGTTGGGCATCTGCCTTCAGCTCAGGTCGTGACCCCAGGGTCCCGGGATTGAGCCCCGCGTCAGGCTCCCTGCTCCGCGGGGAGTCTGCTGCTCCCTCTCCCTCTGCCTCCCCCTTCCCCCTGCTTGTGTGTTCGCGTGCACTCTCTGTCAGATAAATAAATAGAATCTTTAAAAAAAAACCACCACCCGGTAACCAGGAGCACTGGTGAGGGTGCGGGGACGCCGGAACCCGTGTGCTTGGCGGCCAGCAACGTACGATAGTGCAGCCGCTGGGGACAACGGTGCGGCAGCTCCTCCAAATTTTGACTCAGCTGCCACGGGACCCAGGATTTCCACTCCTAGGGGCACACCCATGTCCACACAAAAACGTATACGGCAGTGTTCACGGCTGTAGAATTCGTCAAAGCCACAAGGTGGAAACGACCCTGACGTCCACCAGCCGTGGAGCGGAAACGGGGTCCATCCGCAGACAGCGTGCTGACCAGCCCCGGAGCGTGGTGGGGCACTGCAGGCTGCGGCCGGGGTGACGAGCAGGCGGCCCGCAGCGTGGTCCCACTGGGAGGGGAGGTTTTCCAGACCAGGGAATGGTGCAGGGACAGGGGCCGCTGAGGGGCCGCGTCAGGCTGGTGCTTGCTGCCGAGGAGACGCTGCAGCATGTGAAGAAGCAGGGCGGACAGGATTCAGCCTTGGGAAACAGGGTCTGCCTCCTCTGCGGAGAAGTCACTTCTCTGTCCGCTGCCCTCTGGACCCCTCACACCAGCCTCCTCATCTGTCCCCAGGGCGTGCGCTTCTGAGACCTGCTGCGCCAGGCCAGCCCCAGCGTCCCGGCCTCTCCTTCATCCACGCCTGCGCTCCCAGCCACCACCCTCCTCCCCGCCGCTCATGCGGCTTCTCCCCACTGCAGCAGGCCCTTCAAACAAACCCTCTGCTCCCAGCGCTTCCGCCGCCCTTCTAAGTCCGCCGGGACAACCCCAGGACGTGGGGTGGCCGCTGCAGCCTCCTGCACAAGACTCTGAGGGCCAGAGGCACCCGCTGTTTTCCCAAGGACACCGCACCCCCAGGCCCATCCTCTCAGACTGACAGCCTCCCCTGGGCCACATATCCCTGATCCCGCCCTCTGCTCTTCTGTCCGGGCCACGGGCAACCCCGCCTCTGATGTGCTGCATCTGGTGCCCCCACACCCCGCCCCATGCCGCCCTGTGCGTAGCAGGTGCCCCACACATGTGTGTGGCTCTCACGGAGCCCTGCGTGAGGAGTGAGCACATCGACACCCAGCAGCTCACACGGGAAGGCGCTTCGAGCCAGCTCCCACCCTGGGTCTGCAGGCACGGAGTGCAGGGAGGGGAGGCTGGGAGAGCTGGGTGCAGACACTGGGGCAGGCGAGGGATGCATGCCAGCCTCCCTCCCGGTGACGCGTCCTGTGCGCCAGGGCCTGAGGCCGCCACACTCACCTGCTTCTCGGCAAAGTGGTACTGACAGAGTTTCTTCCACAGACGCCTGTCCTCGCTGAGCATGGACAGCGTCGGGGTCACCTGGCCTAGTGTGACGATGTCCCAGCCATCGGAGAGTCTGTACAGGATGTTGTTGAGCATGTGCAAGGGGAGGTCACTGAGCGTGAGGCCGTCGTTCACCTGCTGGAACGGAAACGGACAGGGTTTCACTGCGTGTGATGCCCGGGAGCGCCAGGCTACAAGGAGGCCTAGCAGCCGCTGAGAGCGGGTGCTTCAAAATGCAACACAACCGAAGAGACACAACCGAAGTGTCGCCGTCCCTCACACTTGGCCACGTGAGCCCTGAGCCCCCGTGTCGAGAGACGGCTGGCCGCACGGGGACCCCGGAGGAGAGGCGGGAGCAGAACAGAGGCTGGTTTGTGCCCTCGGCTCCTCCAGACCCTGTCCATGTGCAGGATGCACTCATCAGACACGACACAGAGACCCCGCGTGGAGAGATGGCAGGGTCCGAGGACAGAGGAAATAAAGCCACTGATCTGCCACCAAGGCCCCGTCCAGCTGTCAGCATCTGGTATCAAATGTAGAAGCCACACCCTCCCTCCCACAAGCCTGCGGGTGTGTCCCCGAGAAAGGGCACAACGCGGTGGGCAGAACCCATGCGTCATCCTATCAGGTGGGAGGGGAGGACATACGGACAGAAGAGGGGAGCATGAGGCGACAGAACTAGGGGGGCCAGAGGGGCGGGGGGCAGATGACAGCGTCACAGCCTCGGGCTGGGCACGCACCCACCCCACCGCGCACAGAATGAGCCTGCTCGGTTCTGTGGGCTCGGGGACGCCTGCACACCTGGCCACAGCCTCATGCTTCTGACGTGGCTGACGGTCCTTGTCCCCAGTGGTCAGCCCTGAGGACGGCTGGCTTCTTTCTGGTTTCTGCTCTCTTTGGTGACCCCAGCGCCCCCGCACACAGCACACATCCATGGAGAAATGACCAGAGCGGGGCTGTGGTGAGGCGCTTAGAGGCTGGCCGTGCTGTTTTCCATGTCCTTGCCGCTGTGGCATGGCCATCCTGTTAGAGAAATGCTCTCCTGGCGCTGTGTGTGTGGGGACCCGGGAGGAGGCGTCCTCTGCCCCCCGACGGGGTGACAGGTCACGGCTCATCTTGGAGGACGCCTCAGCGGCAACCCCTGGCCATGGGGTACTCGGCAACGGCTGCCCATCTGGGGAACAGCCCGGCGCCCGAGATGTCACCGTGCAGCGTGGTCATACGTGTCTCTTCGGGTCCCACCATCCCACAGGCACGTGAGCCTGTGCCCCCGACGGCCTGCATGGCGTGAGCGGGTGACAAGGGGCTCACACGGAGCAGGTGTGACCACAGGGTCTTGTGGGCTGGCCCACGGCACAGCACACACAGACTGCGCTCGCGTGTGCCATTCCTGGCCAGGTCTTCACGCCGTTACAGAAATGACGGAGACGCATTCTAAACGGCTGCTTCGTGCCTCCTCCTTTGAAGAGGAGCTTCAGCGTCAGAAGGAGCTTGTGAACACCCCGCTGCAAACATCCTGAGGCTTGTCAGAGTGTGAGGTGGTAGGAAAAACCCTTGATGCACGAGGCGCGAGAACCCGGCGCCACGACACGGTCTCCAGCCCTGAGGTGACCGCCGACAAGACACACAGCCACCACACCAGCAGCTTCCGTCGAGACGGCTGTGACCAGTCCGACCTGAAGGGGCACGAGTGGCCTGCTGGACAGTCCATCGGGGGCGCGGGGCCTTCAGCTCAGCCCCCCTACTGCCTGGCTCAGCCATTTCCCGCCATGAACCCCTTAACCACGTCGCCATGCGCAAAGGAACACGGCTCTAGGAGGCCTTGCTAGCGCACCAGCCACAGTGCTCCCCGCTCCCGTGGAAGCACATCTGTCCTCACTCAGGTCCCTCACGCTGCTGTAGCTCCTGGGGGACTGAGGACAGAGGACCTGGCGCGTGAGGGGCCATCAAGGGCTGTCCCACCTCCCGCCCGTCGCTGCCTCAGGGAGCTCTTGCCACCTTCCAGCACACAGCTGCAGCAAGGGGTCTGTCTCCACGGGCTGGACCCCAGACTCAGGCCCCAGGACTCTCGCACCAAGGCCCCTCACGTGCACGAGCTGGCCTGACCCCAGGACATGCACAGTCCCTGCTGTCCTGCCCGGGCTGCTCGGCTCCCAGCACACGGTGACCCCCCGAATCCAGGCTCCCTCCCATTTGGCCACACAGTTCTCTTCCCCAAAAGGCCTTCGGTCCCTGGTTTTGCAGTGGCCGCTGGAGCTGCCTGCACCGGCTCACGGGGCCATGTCTGTGCGTGTGAGGAGTCAGCGTGACTCCAGGAGACACCATCACCCCAAGCCGGGGCCGCAGGGCACGAGGCCACAGGAAAGCCAGCTCCGAGCGTGCAGCCGGGCCCCAGTCAGGATGGCGTCCCCACCACTGCCCTCTGTCTGTGCCGCCTCCGAGCTGGTGCCAATGACAGAAAGACCCTAAAGGAAGCCAGTGGCTTCTTGATCCTGCCAGCCAGCCAAGGCGAGGAGGAGAGACCCCGCCCCTGCTCTTTCCCCACCGGCATGCATGACGGCCCAACTCCCTCCCGCCCTCCTTCCCTGTGCTAAACGCACACTTCTCTCCAAATGACACACTTCCCAGCCTCAAGCTCCCTTGCTGACCACAGACCCCAGCTCACTAGCTGCGGTGGCCGGCCACGTGAGGCACGACTGGGACCTGGGTGCGTGGCTGTCCGTGTGGTTTCCACACTGTGTGCGTGTCCACCTCACAGACGGACCTTCCGACCACAGCCCTCAGCCATAGGGGACACATGGCTCGTCTGGACCCGCCTCACCGACACTGAACGCAGGATTCCTCGCTGTAACTTCAAGCCATAATTAGGAAACCTCCACTCTTCTGTAAACCTGTTTACATGGCAAATGGCTCAAAGCTGAGGCTTCCCACGGTTACTCCTGACAACAGCTGCTTTCATGTGGGGCCCCGGACGCAGGGGTGAGCACGCACCGTCACCACACCAGGAGGGCAGTTTGGAGAACAATGGGTCACCTCTCGGGCCCTGAGAGACACGTTCCGTTTTTTCTTTCTCTTACAGAGTCCCAGGGAGGCACAAAATACCCCCGAGACACGGACCTGAGCCGACAGCGTTAACACTCCTGTGAGTGAAACTAGTTCCTGGCATAAACAAACCCGAGCAGTACCAGCGGTGTGACCTGCACCATCTTCTCCCCTAGTCTCCCCCATTCACTCTGCCCAAGAACCACACACGACCCCGGAGGACAGCAGGGAAGGGGGCAGCACGGACCCTGTGTCGCACAGAGTCACTGGCAGAACAAGGCAGCCGTGACTCGTGGGCGGGTGTCTTAGCCCCAGACGTCTCATTTTCCCCGGAAGGCTCATCACCCGTCCCCTTCTCCACAACGACCATCCCCACAGTCTGCCCAAAAGCAATCTACGCCACCACAGGGCCTTCTGGCCCAAATGCACCTGAAAACAAACGCTCCAACAAGCGGGCAGGGTCTTTCACGCGCCCCCGCGGGGGCTGACAACTCTCACGTGTGACCCAGAGCGCGTCCCGCACCTTAGTGACCTGCAGGTTCTGCAGCTGCTGCTGCCAGTGGAGGATGGTCTCCAGACGGCAGATCCAGATGTTGATGTTTCCCACCAGCACGGACTTCCCAACGCCCCGGATGAGGATGCACAGGGTGGAGCTCAGGTCCTGCAGGAGGTCCTTGATGAGGCGGGGGTTCTGGTGGTCGTCGAGGACTGGAACGCACAAGAACACAGACTGTGGGAAGGTGAGAGAGACCCAGCGCCACGCCCGTCCATGCAGCACGCAGCGTGGACACACCACGGAAGAGGAAGGGGGGTCCCGACCCGCGCCCAACGTGTGCGAACCCAGGGGGTGTGGTGTTGATGGGACGGACCCCACATGACTCTGCTCAGAGCGGAGGGGTCAGAGTTCAATGGGACGGGGGTCAGTGCGGGACCACAGGAGGTTCTCGTGGCAGGTGGAGAATGGGCTTCATGCAACCAAACTGTGTGCTTCAAAATGATTAAAATGGTAAACTCAGGGTATGTGTATTTTACCACAATAAAAATAATGAACTCATTTCACTGCGACCCCAAATGGGCATCATTTCTGAGACACAAGTGTGATGAAATTTAAAAGAACATCAAATATTGCCTGATAGCGTGATTCTAGTTGCATCGACAATTTTGGCTTTAAAATTGGCAGTGTCTGTTTTCCCTTACACTCATCCCAAGGAGCTTACACACGTGATCATCAATTCACATACATGCATAAACTCCTGGTGTGAGAGTTAAAGTTCCTTTACTATCGGCCAGTGATCAATCGAGACAGACTGAAGATAAAGCCACAGGCTCATCTGAGGCCACGTTGGTTATGGAGGTGTACAGCTGAGGCGACAGGTGAAACTTCCCTGAGACCCAGGGGTTCTTCATCCTCCTGTGGGAACAGCCCGTCCCGATACGACAGTGTTATGTGGATGGAGGAATGAAGAGAAGCTCCATCTCCTCACACCGCACTTGTTATTAGACACGTCAGTCACCAACTTACCCTTCCGGACAATTTTGTCCAAAATGTTGAAGTAGTTCTTCTGCGCCACGCCGCTCAGCGACGTTAACTGGGATTTCGCAATTAGCTGCAGGAGCTGAAGGAGGAAGGGACGCGCGTTACTTAGTCTGGAGGCAGAAGCCACAGGGACCTGCCGCCACGCTGGCTTGTCCTCTTCAGAGACCCCACGCCTGTCACTGTGGCGTTCGGTCATCTCTGAGGGTGGGACATGGTTTCGAAGGGCAGATCCCAGGAGACTTTTACCTCAGGCAGGTTCTCCTGAACGTTGTCTTTAACCGTTCCTTGGACCCACCTTTCCCTTCGCATTCCAACCGCAGGGCTGTCTCCCGGGGCCTCTGCAGCTGAGGGGACCTTCTGTCTCCCCTTCACACCCTGTGTCCTCCTTCCTCATCTGCCCACCGCTGCCCCTGCGTCCCTTGCCCTGTGTCCCCGTGTCTGCTCCTCTCGGGCCCCTCATCCACCCCACCAGCGCCTCCCGAGCCCATACAGACCCATGTCCTACTCCCCACACCCCGCACCGGGATCTGCCTCCGTGGCCGCACTCCTGACAAGACGCCGAAGTGCCAGGTGGTGGCGTCACGGCTCCCTGACGCGCCTCTGCTCAAGCTGCGTCCTGCACCGCTTCTGCGGACACCCAATACTGCTGCCCAGAAAGAGCTGCTCTCCGCACAGGGAACCCAGAGCCAGGCCTCCCTGGCCAGGTGGGAGCACACCTGTTCACTCCTCCCCAGACTGTTCCTGCCCAGTCGACGCCCCTTTGAGTAATTACGCCCGCCTCCTGGTTCCGTGAACACGGGATTCCCTACCTGCCCTCCCGCTCACCTTGCTGGTTTCCAGAGGCAGAAAAGGAACACACACCGACTGCGGACGGTACAAATAGGACGATCACGCAATGATCTTCAGGGGAAAAGCATCTAGTAACGCTTCCGTAAGCGTCCCCCGCTGCAGTGGTCCAGACACACGCCGCAGGGCACAGCCCACAGCTGCGGGCACATCAAACTGGACACGCCTGAGACAGGCCCAGTCCTTCTCCCGGCTCCAGATCTTATCACCCACAGGTCACCCCCACCTGCTGGCTTCAGAGAGCCTTCAGTGATGTAAAATTTCATAATGTGATTTTTAAAAGTCTTCTCAATCTTACACATTTAACCAAAAAGGAATGTGACCGAAACTCTGTAACACGGAGCATTCTAACCAGCCGTCCTGAGCCTGAGGAGAACCGTGACCCCGACCCTGGACCCCGCAGTCTGGGCTGGTGTCCTGGGTTGGTTTCAGGGCCTGAGACACCCCCCCCCCCGTCCCTATGCTCAGAGGCCAAGGGGCGTCCTGACACAGACTGCGTTTGAAACAAGCCTCCCGTTTGGGGATCAGCTTGAGCGCACGGTTTGTGAGTCGGGATTCCCACTTCTTGCTTTGTCCCTTTTCTCCCCTTTCCCAAGGACTCTTGTCTTATTCACAGACTTCTAGAAGCGGCAGAAGGACCGCTATTTCCTTTAAATTATATTGTGACGCAATTTACAATTTTACTCTCGTTACCGGACCCCTCGGTGGCCCTGTCATCATGCAGGTTGTCTTGTTGACAGTATCGGTGTGGGGACAGAGCCGGGCTGGGTCCCTGCAGACCCGTGAGACGGACCTTTCAGGTTTCTGGAGGACGTGCTTCTGCCCTCTAAAGAACAAAAGCCCACATTCCCAGTGTTCCCACACCAAGACATACCCGTCTACCATGATCATCAATTTATGCTGCGTCACTAAAAATGTCAGACCTAAACATCGAATTTAATTTTGCTGAGGTCAAAGTGTCAAGTTAGTTGAAGAGCGCTTTCTTTGAAAACCGGTGTCTCTCACAATACTGAATGTGAAATACGAGTATCTCAAAATTACATACAATTTTAATATACAATTTTAAACAAAAGACACAAATCATAAAACTATCTTCCAAAGGTGACAGAACGATAAACAGGAAAGTCAGGAAAGGGTCAACCTCCAAGGAAGAAAATCAGGCCACGAAGACACTCACGGATGGCGCGTCGGCCAACGCAGTTAGGAATGTCCTACTTGTCCAGTCACATGCTAGACACACACGCTCACGGTACTGTCATATTGTAGTAAACATATTCTTTACTAAAGTAAAACAAAGAAGGAAAACAGGCATCGGCATGAGGCCCCACACTGTCATCTTGGTCCTTCCTCTTTAATGAATCTTCTTAGGAGAATTGACATATTTGGCTAGTAGCTTTAATCCAACATGTTTATGGGGAGATGATTTAGCAAACACCTGGTGTGGTAGCCTACAGCTGATTCCTGAATCAGCAGTAAGGTTTAAGAAAAATACATCTTTCTTGTGCTAAGGAACACAGAAGACATCTTTTTGTGAAGAATCTTAAGTTTTATAATAAAGAATGAACTTTCTCCATTTCTAAATATCCAGTTTTCTTGAAAAGAGGAGGAACTGTAGATTCGGTAAAACAACCAGTAAAAATTTAATTATTTTAGAGTATCCTACAAGCCAGTTTGTACCTTCGCCAGAATTTGTGGTGAATATTTAACAGTGGTAGGAAATAACTGGCCTAAGTCACCAAACAATTCACATCCACAGTGGCTCGTTCGACCCTCTGTCCACTTTGGGAAGAACACGCAGCCCCTGATCTGCAGGTGCTGGTCGTGGTGCTTGGCGGGGAGCGGGGCTCCCACATGGCGATCACTCACCTGCAACCAGCAAAGGTGTGGCTCAAGAGGATTGGGAACCTTAGAGTCCTTTTCAACAGCTTGAAAGGACACCATTTCAAGATGTCATAGGACACATTTAGGAAAGTCACTTGTTTTTTCCTTGAGAGGGAAAGTTCTTAAAACTAAGAACAGCAAGGTCTCCATTGTCGGGGCAGTGGTGTGTGTGTGTCCCCTGGCCCCTCCCGTGCCCTAAGGCACCCCTCCCCACCTGCCTCCCACCCTTACATCTTTGGGGCATAAATGGCCCTGTCCACAGCTGTGGCCCCTTTGTCTCGATCACCCTGAAGAGATCATCCCAACATAGCCAACATGGAGCAGGGTACCATTTAAACAACGCACTCCCCACAGCAGCCTTCGGAGGTTCAGAAATGTGCCCGGGGGCCCCGGTAAATAAATGAGACCGAACCCAGACAGACAGCAAGGCTCCCTGCCCACCACCCGCCTCAGCCCCTCCCCGCGCACCGTGGCATCAACTGGGGTTACTACACAGTCCTCGGCCGAGGTTAGGAGAGAGTTCAGAAACATTCACATCACGAGATATTCTAGCCACAGAGGTCTTTCTCCTTTTCTTCATGACCCCACTATTTAAAGGATCTGTGAGACACTCCAGAAACAGAGGAGGTCATCCTCCAAAGCAAGTAACACTGGAACACAGACGTCCAGGACAAGGGGGCCGAGGCCACGAGGGTCTCTGGGGAAGCAGCCGCCTGCAGACAGAGGGACCAGCTCCAGGTACCAGGAGTCCACGCGGCCCCCAGCGGCCCCCGCAGTGGGGGAGGCGGGCCTTTCTTCTGGAAGCTGACGAGACAGACGTGAAAAGCCGAAACAGGGGGAAACAGAAACAAATGACCCCCTGACCTACCTCCAAGAGAAGGAAAAATTCTCTTAACTTCAAAACTAACTCAGGGCACAGGCCCACCGAGGAAGAGCCCAGTGGGTGCCCCCGGGCAGCAGCACGCTCTGCTCCCCGACCGTCCACACCCCGTCAGCAAGGGTTCCAACGCCGGCCCCAGTGGCATCAGGGTCGTCACCCCTTCCCCAAAAGTGAAGGTTTTCGCAGGTTCCGCTACTTGTCCTCCAGCATTGGGTCACTCTGTAGCCATGGCTGTGAACCTGCTGTCACCCTGGACCTGGACATCGGCTGCACCTTCCACGTGACACCTCAGGAGAGCCGCCCAAGCTTTCCGCAGCTGAAACGGTCCTCCCTCAAAACACCTGTGAACAGTAGTGCTCGGGCCCTCAGGGAAGAGGAGTACGCACACACCTGGCTGTTCTTCCCGCGGGTCAAACACCCCGCGGTCCCGTCAGCCTCCTGCGAGCTTCCCACAGCTGCTGGGGCCACACGCCAGGCACTGGGTGCTGGGAACATGGGACACCCATTGTCTCAGCTCCAGAAGCTCGGAGCCAAGCCCTGCAGCTGCCCGGGATCCACAGAACCTGCCTCAGCCCGCCTCACCCCGGCTCCTGGGGGACCCCAAGGAGGCCCTTTCCCCCTCACCTTGGGGCCCCCGGGGGAGGCCCTTCCCCCCCTCACCTCGGGCTCCTGGGGGCTCCTGGGGAGGCCCCTTCCCACCTCACCCCAGCTTCTCATTTTAAGGCTCCATGTGGACATAGACTTTTAGAGTTTGGTGTTCAACCCCACAGATTCACTACTTAGAAATATTTCCTAGAAAAGCATGATAATTCTGATGATTCGAATGCAGCAGTTACATGGAAGGTCAGAACAAAGTACCCACCAGTAAAGGACATAAACGAAACTACAGAACTCTGAACTTTTCATGTGGGCACCATGGGCATGACGTGGGCCTTTTGGGGCATCCTGGGGTCCGGCCCTCCTGCCCGTTCACACTGCATCTTTCCTTGGGGGGGTGGGGCAGAGCCGTGCAATCCTGACCTGCTGTATCCTCCTGGTCGAGTTACTCAACCACCCCTTACAGAAATCTGGTTTCCACCATTTAACTTTCTTCTGAGCCAGGAAGCTGCTGAGATACTCTTTCAGAATACCGTATGCACTTTTGGAAAATCCCACCTCTCCAGTGAAACGCTGTTATCGGGGGACTCTCGGTCCTGTGAGACACCATCTTGTCTGAACTGGAATCTCCCACAACCCACCTCTCAAAGACTAGCCTCATGGCTTTGTTAGCCATGTAGAAACATGTATAAACATTAACATTTGCTCATCCCCTAGTGTGACTAAGGGATTAACAAACTCCTTTCACAGGAACCCAGGATGAGTCGGGGCCTAAAGAGACTACAGACAGGAGGTCTGCAAACAGTCCCATCCCCGGCCACGCCTGTTCCCCAAGCAGGTAACGAACCCTGGGGAATGCTGAACGTTTGTTAGCA